AAGGAAGCCAAAAGAGAGACAACTTGGAGACACAGGCTCCTGTCTTTCTGAGCTGAAGCCCAGGAGATCACCTCGAGACCCACAAAGCTGCTGAACCCCTGCCATCACAGCACACTCCAGGAACCCAGGAGAAAAGCAGGCTCCTGTTGGTTAAATTAATTGTGGGTTTTGTGTTGTTGTTGTTGCTGCTGCTGCCTTAGGAGACTTCTCAAAATTTCCCTCCCAGCAGTTCCGTTTATATCTCTTTGTCCCATAAACCACAGAACTACAACAGCCTGAAAAGGCACTAAGAATTCGCCGTTAAGCTCCGGGGAAAACACTCACAAATTCAGGGCTCCATTACTAAGGAAGGGGAGAGAACTTCTGAAAGACAATGAGAGCCGGCCGCAATGTTCATTACGATTTTCTTTAAAATAGCAAGCTATCAAAAGACCTGAACAGCCTAGAGAGTATGTGGTTAAAGAAACTGCAGAAGACTATCCTGATATTTGGAATATTCGTGTAGCCTCCTTTTTGCTGGCGTGGTAAGTTAGCCCACACTGTATTAACTTAAAAAGGAAAAAAACGCCAGCATCTGTCCTAGGATCCCGTGTGCAAAGTCCTGTGTCTTACAGGCATCTGTTAAATGTTAGTAGTATTTAGGTCACTAGAGGGGTTGGTGACTTGTGCAGAACGTGACTTTCCTGCGTGTGTTCTGGTGTTCACACTCAGCACCCTACTCAGGTGGTTGCTGTGCACATAAAATGGTGCTGACTGAAGTTAGCTTCAGTAACTCGGGAAAGCTCTCTGTGATCAGCCAGGGACGGGGGAGTTGACGCTGCTCTGTGGCCGCAACGCCAGGGCATTAGTACTGTAAGGTGAATATGAACTAATTTTGTATATCATTGGACAAAGCATAGCAAGAGCTTTCTACAGAATCTTGGTTTTTATTTCTTGGCCTACACGGGTGGAGAGAGTTTTTGCCAAGTTAAAGCTGCACGGTTCTGAGCTCGGGGGCGTCCTGCAGCCCTGGCTCCGCAGAGCACGGACTGGCCCCCGCACAGCCCGCAGCACCTGCGGCAGCTCTGGCCCCCAGTTACTACTTCAAAGTGCAGCTGAAACCGGGACTGCAGGTGGTTTTAGAAGAAACACAAAGCCACTAATCTACACATCGTTGTGCAAAAAGCCACCATGGTTTCTAACATTGCTTTCTTGGGCTGAGTGGGTAAACCTTAATTTATCCCGTAAATTATATTGTAGTAAAGGATTTTTAAAACTAGATAATGGCTTCCTTAAAATACCAGTTTGAAGACATTTGCTAATTCCAAGCAGCTGAGAACGCAGTATTTTAGACTCTTTGCACAGAGAGAAATCCCAAAAGATTAAGAACAAATATCTTTCTCACTTCATGAAAGCAAAATCATAACCTAGTTAGGAAAGCGGTCTTTGCGAACATACACGTGTGCGCAATATTGTCACCCCCTTTGAAATGACATCTGTCGTAACTTCCATTCTCACAGGTGTGGAAACAGGGAGAAGCATTGGAGATTCATTAGCTACCTTTGGGTTTCCTCAAACCTCAGCTGAATTAGAGGGTGCAGGACCCTCGGCCTCCCTTTGGTGTGGATCTCCTGCTGAGCACCTGGAAAAGCTCAGATTACCGTAGTAACCAGGCCAGATCCTTTTGCAGTATTCAAAGGGGAGCTTGGTGCTTCTGGGCTCACAATCGTTTAGCCAAACTGTGGCTCCTTTCACTGTACAGGTGGTTTTCTTACTTCTCTTTTAGAAGCTAAGCATTTGGTGGGAACGTGTGCTAGTGAGCTTTGCGTGGCGCCTCGGGGCTGTGGGTTTGCTTTCCCACACTGGGCGTCGCCTGTGCCATCTGCGAGCTTCGTCTCCTTGAGGGCACCTTTTGAATCATGCTCATGATGCCACTGTTAATGGCTTTTGACTCATACACTTCTTTCTCTGTGGACAAAGATCCACCCTCGAGCCCTTGTGGATTATCAGACAGCACGGTTGTCACTAGTGGCTTCAGCCACCATGCTGGGACCTCTTCCAAGTGACTTCTCAGCGTCTCTGCATCTTCGTCTCTAGTGCACTCTAGACTGTAAACAGAACCCTGACACATTGATGCAAGACTAACTTGAAGCTCTCTTACAGAAAACTGGGCGTGTTATTGTTGTTATAAGTAACAACTAAAGTGTGCTTTCTCCCTTGCTTTTAGCTCTGTAAGCACCGTGTCTTGTGTGGATGAACCCAGCCCGCGTGATGCGATCTCTCGCCTCACCGTTCGAGTGGAAAACACCTACCAGCTGGGTGTGTTCCTCCGTCACTTACCCCTGTGTGAAGTTTCTCATGTGGTGACTGATGCCTGCTTACGTGGTATCTGAGAGCATGCTCTCCTCAGCTCTAACATAGAGGAGCTTCATTAATTGAGAGACTTGAGGCTTCTTCATTCTCTCCCTCCGCTAGATGAGAGTGACCCCCACTGCCTGCTTTTGCACACCAGCGTTTCCTAAACACCAAGCTAGTGGCTGGGAGGCCCAGATGTGTGTGCTGGGTGAGTGGCTGGAGGTGCTCAGATTTGTTTCTGGATGGCGCCATCACATATAAATATAGGTATGCGTGAAGTGAAAGAGATACGCGAAGGTGTTTTATCCAACAAAACCACCTCACATTGTTGAGAGGTGGAAGGAAATCCTCCAGCAGAGGCAAAGGATTTGTGGCCCCTGCCAAGGGAGGTGTTTCTCTCTTACTGCTGAGGTCTGGGGGCTTTGTAAACAAAGACCTGCGCACCTGTCCCGTGGTCCCAGGTGGAGCCCGGGCAAAGAGCTTTTCCCATTCATGTTTCTTCACAGACCTCCTTGTTTTCTCTCAGTGTGCACCTGCCTGCTATTATATATAATTTATATATAATTACTGCGGTATAGAAATTCCATAGAGACTTACCAGGGCACAGAGGGAGCCCCTATGGGCCAGGGTGTTTCCATCTGCGGCCAGTGTGCCCCAAGGGGATTATAAACCATCAGCCTGTTAGACCTTGCAGCCATTTTTCTACACCAGTCCCAAAACTTCACAGAATACAGGGCTCAGAGTGAGTGTCCTGTGCTGTCACAGTGCTTGTGGTGGGGCGCAGTTGCTGGCAGCTGCAGCAGCCTTTTATTCTTTGTGTAGACATGTCCCATTTCCTTTGGAGGTTTCTACCAACAGCACTTCCATAACGTTTGGGGTTCAGAATTGTACCTGAGCTGACCTGGTCTCACGGAGGAGCAGGACTGATTCTGTGAAGAACGACCCAGCATAACCCGAACAAAGCCTTGGAGAGTAAACTCAGGGAACATCATCACCTGATAGTTGGAGAAGCAGACATGACCACGGAGCCCAGGCAAATGAAGGGGTTATGACAGCTTCTGGCATCTTGTCCCCAACATCAAGTACGAAATGGAGAGGAACAACCAAATCCTGACATCAGCTCTTGAGCCGAGTTCAGCTGGCCTAGACTTTCCAGTTAGGGGTGAAGTTTGAATCTGCCCTCCTCTGCCCCCCATGACCGAAAGCTCTTAATCGCTGGGGACCGCTGACTCTGCGTTGGATTTCAGCCCTAACAGGCTGAAATGTGGATCCCCTATGTTTCTCCTTCATAAAGCTCTTTTCACAACTTACTTCTTCAAAACAGCAAGCTAAATTGTCTTGTCAGATTTAGTACTGAGTGTTGCACCAAGTTAGAAAAGTAATTTTTTTAAAAATAGCATAGTGTAGATAAAATCTTTCCCTATTTTCATATAAAAATTGGTGTGAACTATTTCCTTAGGATTGAAGTCAACCATGACTAGCAAGTTCTTTTCAGAGCCCTCAGCTAGCCATTTTATTAATGCCCAAAATTGTATCTCCACTTCCACTTATTGCTGCGTTTATTTTGTACAGGAAAGGGATTCAATAAAGACCTACATAATGTAATAGTAGCCAGAAGAGTTGGGTGGGATCAGGCACCAGGACTATTATGCTTAATTAATTTTTTATTCTTGCCAATAATATTTGCATCAGCTAAACATATCTTAAGTGTCTAGCATGTTTGATCTCCTTTTCAATAATTATAGCTTCCAAAAATGAGTGAAACACGAGTGTAATCCATGAGAGTAAAGAGGAAGTGGGAAAAGCAAAATATATCCCTTTTAACTGAGCACCATTTTCTATTGGATCACTAGTTGCTGACAGGAGCATGTGGGAGAAAACACAGCCTGTGAGATCAGGTGTATCCGAATTAAATTCTAGCCTGAGTACCATGTAGGAAAAGGAATTTCAAGCAAGGTGTCTTGCACCTGTGAATCTTTCCTCAGCTATAAGTAGGGTGACTAGTCCACACGTCCAAAGGACGCTATAAGAATGCACTTCAAGGGCTTCTCCACACATCATCGTTGCTCCCGAGAGTGACAGGCTCTGGGAACTTGGCCCACACCACTAAGAATAAACGCTCCCTGGTATTCAGTGTAACACCCTATTAATTACGGAATGAGTCTGCCACAGGACTTTTTCTGGAGTTATGATTCAAGCAGTAACTAATTCTATTTTTTAAAAAAACTGTTAGTGAACATCAGATCAGATGAGAGCTTCGGGTGCCACACTGGGCCAGCCTGCCGAGGGGGAGGCCTACGGAATGGAAGTAGGCGCTAAATACCAAGAGCAGAGGGGGAGACCATGAAGCTCGGCCTCCATGCGGGGTCAGGCTGCTTGGGGTGTCAGGCTTTGGGGGGAGACCCAGGGGCCTCCTTGTCTCTGCTAACGTCTTCTCCACCATTTGTCCTTCTCACCCTCCCTCTCCCATCCCTTCCTTCAAAGCATAAGAACAGCAGTGACACCAGGGAGGATCAATACCTATGCTTGCCTTAGGGTGTGGAGGGAACTATTTAGACATCTTTAATATTTTACCTCATTGAATCCTAAACAAAAAAATAATATGTTGTAATTCTTGCTTCCCCAATCTGGGGAGTTGGGCCACAAACATGTTAAGACATTTATCTATAGCTATATTCTCTCTTAAATCTACTTCTGATTTTTTTCTTGTGTCTTCAGGTCTTTGCTTTTGATTTCTAGAATATCTTTTTCTTCCAAATGAAAAATTACTTCAAAAGATAATAATATGAAAAGAAGGCTACTGCTGTCCAATTGGTCTGCTCTGAGAGTAGCTTTGGGAGCTTCTGTTTGTTGGAAATGAGAGGCTGAAGGTTAACTCTTCCTTCTCTCTGAGTCTCAGCAGCCCACTCTGAACAAGGCTGGAGGAGATTCTGCTCGTGACCACAACAGAATGAGAAAAAAAATATCCAGAATATAATCTGGCTCCTGAGGCTTTTAAAAAGCAACTAAGCCAAGTACTGAATGGACATTGGCACAACTGGCAGTGGGAACTACAGAAAGGGGATGCCCGTGTGTCAAGGGCTTCCTGTCATCTGTTACAGGGTCTGACTTCCTCTCACCAAGGAAAACATGGTTGCCAGGCGTGCCTGAGGGTCAAAGGTCAGAAGGTTGCTACAGAAAGAGGCTGACTCACTTCCCTCCTGTCTCAGTTTACAATAAGAATTCCAAGAAAGGCCTCTAAATGGCCTGGCCTGTGGAGGGGTCATCCCTGACTCAGTCAACTCTGCCCTAGACTGTGGCTCACAGGAGGCGTGGTGGATCCTGAGGAGCCACAGATTAGAGGAAGAGCATTCCTTCCCAGAAGGGGACAGGCTGTCCCAGAGGGCATGGAGGAGCAAACAGAATATGAGCCATCTTCAGGAGGGCGCCATGCACCCAAGGGGGTGTGATGCCAAGAAGAGCCAAGGCCCGTGGGGAGGATGCTGGTCAGCGTAGAGATCCATGACTTGAGTCTCGGGGACTCAGGCACAGAGAGGGCCTGCGTCTCGGGGACCTGCATGCGCTGTTCAATCCGGGCAAATGGCACGTATCATCTCCAACCTTCTTCAGCAGAAAAGGAGAAATCACCTTGAATGGGGCTTCATCTCGCAGGAGTATGAAATCCAAACCCGAGAGACCCCCAGGAGGGTGACACAGAGCCTGGGCATCCCCACTGTGTGCTCACAGGGCCCATCCATCCTCTTCACTGCTGGAGCAGGTAACAGCAGGACCAAGTGCTCTCCTGGGTCCCCAGGAGATGGGCTCGCAGCGGATGTCACGGTCATCAGAACTGTTGCACGACATCTCCTGATGGGTCCACTCGCCTTCCCCACCAACCTAAGCAACTCCGCACTATCAGCACATAAAGCATGGCTGCACCTGAGAGGTGGGCTTAGCTGGAGCCAGTCCCGGGCTTAGCCTGCTCCTGAGCTTGTGCTGAGATCCCTAGCAAGAAGCACGGAGGGTGTGGGGCCCAGCCTGACCTCCAGGAAGCCGCTGCCCCAGCTCTACTGAAATCTCAAGAGGGCTCTGTGCTGCATTCTGCAGGCCAGGGGTCAGGCACAGTGACCCCACGTCCACTAGCCCAAGAGGACACAGCGCTGTCCTTTGGGAATCCCCTCCCCACTCAGACCTCCCTGAAGGGATCTCTCATTAAATCCTCCTGCAGTTTTCCTAACTTCAATGTGTGATATGTTTCTCTCAACTCAGCCTCCAATAAAACTTAAAAAACAGCACTTCTTAATAGACACTGATGACTATTAAAAGAGAATTCAATATAATTCATTTTCTTTTTGGTAGTACTTAGGGTTGAATCCAGGATGATCACATGGAGCTACGCCCCCAGCCCTTTATTTTTATTTTGAAACACAGTCTTGCTTAGTTACTGAGATTGGCCTCAAGCCAGCAAGCCTCCTGCGTCAGCCTCCCCGAGCTCCTGGGGTTCTAGGCCTGTGCCACCATGCCCAGCTGGGTATAGTAACTATTGACCTCATTCCTCCACATCCGTGCCCCTCCGGACAGCGTGTTGCACAGTGCCACACATGGATACCCAGGGAGCCAACGCAGCTACAATTCCAGGATGCAGAGTCGGCAGGTTCATGTGACGCTTTGTCCCCAAGCTGCAGTAAATGCGACTGAGAATGTAAGCTCTAAAATCCAGGGCCAGGTGACCCTGAGTGTCTAACTCAGGCGCTCCACTGAGTGGCTCCAGGCTGGTCACGCCAAGTATCTGAGCTGTTTCCCACCTGTGAAAGTTGTGGTAAATACATGGAAAGTGTTTCTCATGATGGCTGACACATAAAGACGATTGCCAAGGAAGGGCCAGCGTGCGTGCAATGGTCACTGTCTACAGAATGGTTAACTCCCTGGGGCACAGGTCTGCCATCCCAGCACTCTGGGCGGCTGAGGCAGGGGGACCTCACACAGGAGCCCAGCCTGGGGAATTCAGCCAACCAGTGAGATTCCACCTAAAACATAAAGAAGCTGGGGAAGTAGCTCAGTGCAAAGCTCCTGGCTTCATACCTCAGTACTGTGAAAAAAAGAAAAGTTCTATTTAAATTCAGAAGTGCTATATTACACATTTCTTATGCCCATAGCATTGATTTGGAAAGAAGCGCAGAGATGCTTAGCCATCATCAAGTAGGTTAGCAGCCAGGATAGTGTGAACCCAGAAGTCTGGAGAATGGGGTGCTTTGCACTTCCGGGGGAGGGGGTAGGAAGGCTACCTGCCAGTGAAGTCATTTGAGCTGGACTTGAAACAAGATTAGATAGATGGGAAACAAAGCCACCCTTGAAAAGCAGAGCCCCTGAGCACCTCCCAGAGACAGAGGGGGCTGGGCAGGGCAGAGTGGAAGGAGCCCACAGGCTCAGGCCCAAGGGAGCAAGGAGCACTGCCCGATCTGGGCTTCTGGGTGGTGAGTCCAAGGGGAGGCCACCAGGGAGCCCATTAGATGTCAGAGTTGCTGTCATGTCCAGGAGGGAAAGACCCAGGACGCCAGCCCTCTTAGGTCACATGGGCAGAGCAAGTCTGTGGGCCTCTCATCTTCTCTCCAATAACCTGACTCCATGCCTCATTAGGGGCTCCTTTGTCCTCAACTGGAAGCCACCCAGATGACCAGAGGTCTGATAGTCTTCTTTGATTCCAATATTCACTTGATGAGCTTAGGAGGTGGAGAGAAACAATCTGAAATTGGGGTGTGTGTGTGTGTGTGTGTGTGTGTGTGTGTGTGTGCTAGGAATTGAACCCAGAGCCTCACACATGCTAGGCAAGCCCTCTACCACTGAGCTACATCCCAGAGATGGACTGACTGACTGACTGAGACAGGGCCTTCCTACTTGCCCAATCTGGCTTGAACTTGTGATTTGCCTGCCTCAGCCTCCTGAGTATGCAATCATTTCTCAGAAAGACATTTCATCTATGTTTTCAGGTCCTACCAAACATTTTCCTGTGGTCACTGTCAGTCATATTTTGAAAGACGTGTTAACAAGCTACCTACAAGAAGAAAAGTATGAGCCAGAGTTCTGCAGACAGATGACTAAAACAGTTTCTGAGGTACGCGTGAGACAGGCCCCAAGTTGTGGCCACATTGCAGTATTTGACAAAGGCGCAGCTCACTTGCTGCCTTTGGATGATGGGGATTTATTTTCAGTAGTAGCTAGAAGGTATATCTATATTTTATTAAAATATTTATTAGTTCATATGCTGTGCGTGTGTGATAAGCCTTTGCCTAAAATAATCATGTGTATCTTGTAATAATAATATGTAAAACTGCCCCACTCTACAAATTTGTATTGCAAAAGATATAGCATTTTAATGATCATTTTCTCTCCATGACTACTGGTTGGTTTTTATACGGGGGAAAGGTTTATGCAGCTCACAGCCGGCAGCGATTTCCGCCCTTAGTCGGCTGGCTCCAAAGCAGGGTGGCGGGGAAGAGGCGTCGCAGGAGAAGGGCTCACAGCAGGCAGAAGCCAGCAAAGCGAGCTAAGGCTCCGCGGCGACTCTTGGAGCATCGGTAAATGCAAACATCGCAGCCCCTGCAAGCACGGCTAGCTCGTCAGCCATGGCGCTGCCCCTCTCTCATTGTTTCTCGTACTTTGACTCTTCTAACAAATGCTTTAGTAAACATTCTCCTATTACAGGAGATTCAGCTCCAGTTTCCTTCACTAGACATGAGCAAGACAGTACAACTCTCATGCCAAGAAGAGGAGCAATCTTAACAGGGTTTTCAGAGAACATAATAATCTGTTAAATTCTCTGCAAGAGATGATAATTTCTCCATGTGTTTAGAAAATGAAGATGTATTGCTGGTATTATCATTTTGTCCCTGAGCGTCCTGTCTCACGATGACAGTACTTACAGGAAATCATAGGCAAGGTGCGGCAAGAGCTGCCAACAGTAACAGTACATCACGCTAGTTCCTTAAACGAAGCCCACTCTAGCAATGATGAAAGCTGAGATTTTTGAGTGTCAATGTTTGTACATGGTGGTTCTCACCCTTTTATTATTTTTTTCAATTTCTAGGTTATCAAAGCCCGGGTCAAGGAATTAATGATTTCACGGTATAAACTAATTGTGGTCACTCACATCGGGCAGCTGAAGGATCAGAGCTTGTTTATCGGAAGCAGATGCCTCTGGGATCCTACAAGTGATACTGTTTCATCCTATACTTTCAGAAATTCTTCTCTCTTTGCTCTCGCCAATGTCTATGCAATTTACTCTGAGTGACTGAAAATAAGAAATGTAGTTCTTGCTTTAGGCCCATGAAAATTTTACTGCCAAAAGCTTTGAGAAAGAAATAAGACTAACATTTAAAACAGACAGAAGCTTTCAGAAATTTTAATACTCTGAGAATTGGGGATGGGGTAAGTAGCCCAAGAAAGAATCTCTTTGGTCCAGCGCAGAAACTAAGTCATGATTCTGCTAGATTGCTTTTCAAAAGTATAAATTCTTATTAAATATTAATTTGGGTATTGATTATTTTAACTATTCTTTAATTAGAGAGTTAGGGTCTCCGGCATTACTTTTTGATAAAGAGAAGTTTTAGAAATCTATTGTTATATATCCTGACCCCATAAATGAGAGTAGAATATTCAACATGGAATACATAAATGATCATTGTTAATATGGCTCAGTGCTATGTATGTATAACAGAATTCTGGTTTTCATTTTGCACTTAATAAATTGAGCAGCATTCATTAACTGCAATTACTGGTACATGTACCTGACAGTTGGAACTGCTGAGGTAGAATTAATGACTTCATAGCAATTACTCTGGTCCCACAGGGCCACAAGCTAAAACTAGAAGCCCTTGTGGGGTGACTGCACTTTGCAGAACTGCAGGAGAGCAGCACACCAGCTCTTCACCCATGGCAACTAGAAAGGGAGCGGTGGCTTCTTCAAATAACCAAGTGGATGATGTTCTATGAAATATACATGATGTTTAATAATAAGTGGACCTGTACCACATAAAATCCTGCCTTAGAAAGAGGCACTGCTTTAGAACAGACACTGCCCAATGTGCCTGGGCATAGGCTTTCCTAGGTTAATGAACTTTTACACAAAATATATAGCTGGCAGCTTAGCAAATAAAACGTGTGTATTTACCATTTGTTTCTATGGGTTTAACTAAAGTGACCTGGTGTGGTTTTGAAGCGATGGGCACTAAAATTTACAGGGCTGGAATTGCTTATTATTCTGCTGGTTCATGCATCGACTACTACGGATCATTTATTTTTATGGCACTTGCAGCCTGTGTGTGTAAGATGATGCTGCGGCGCTGTTCTTCCTCAGACAGCCACCACCAGGGACGTGTGTTAAAGGTCAAAGACAAATTGTTCACATATGGAGAAAATTAGCAATGTTATGGTCTGAAGGAAAAAAATGATGTGTAACTCACATCAGCACGAATTCAGCAAACAGAAGAACCAGCCTAAGGTTTATAATTTTAAATGTTTTGGGCTTTTATCTTGCCCTGTATACTTTATCCCTTTCTGTCTTGGGTTTTTCCCTATATAGGGTTTTTCCCTATAAATCTTTTCAAGATCCCTTTTGGAAGTGATCTTGTCTATTTTGTTCTTTTTTTCCACAAATGCTTTAGTGGGAACCTACTGCATAGTCACTTATCACAGCCAATAGTTGTCGCTCTCAGCTGGCCAGTTTTGAGCAGAGCTTAGATTGCAAGTCAGTGGGTAACCAAGCCCCGTCTTTTCATGACACGTGTGGACATCTCCCTCCTTGAAGCGATAACAAGGTCAAGCACAGGGCGATTTTGCTTGAATGAATTAGAATGAAGTGACTTCTGGGTATGTAACTGAAAGTCATCACAAAAATGGCTTCTTAAAAGAATTCTGAAGTCTAATCCATGAAGTACTCTCTTATCATCTAGCCTAAATTGTGCTGGAAGGCCAAGCCTTAAAACACAATGATCCTTAAAGAATCATTTGCCAGCACGCTGCCACACCCTGCAGTGCCACACATACAGTGACAGATGACAGTTTAGGCCACAGCAGGGGAATATAGTGTGGTGACTCTTGGTATAGGCTGATGTAGGAAACTGTGAGTCATTGCACAGGACCTTGAGCGGGAAATTTTAAGGAAATCACCCTGTAAATTTGAGAGCGTTGTTTGCTTTGAAGCACCTGGAACTCCCTGGCCTCTGTCCCCTCAGAGGGCTCCCAAGGGCTGCTCCTTACTCCACACAGTGTAAGGCTCAGCCTGTCTCCCTCCTCCCCAGGCTTCCCCAGCCACTCTGCCCTCTGCACCTCTCCACTTCTTCTCTGGCTCGTTTTCCAACATGGCTTTCCTTCCTCTACTGGACTAAAAACGTTGCGTGCATGGACCTGCCACATACACTGATGCTCCCAACAATAAAATCAAATCCTTCTTCACTTTTAAAGCAAAAGCTTTGTGTGTGGTGCTGTACTACCTAGCTCCCTGCTACACAGAAAATAGCTCAACCCTCAAGGAATTGTGTAGGAACTCGAGCCAAAGCCCACAAGAGACACGGCACAGGGCAGCACACGTTCCCACAAGAAAACCAAGTCTCTGTGTCCAGTTAGGGAATGCTGGGCAGATCCATGGTGAAGCAGCGATTCAATCTCGACCGTGAAGGAGACCCATAGAATTCCAATGGACAGCAGTCCAGGAAGGCATCTAGGACAGGTGAAGCTCCACACTCACGAAAGGAAGGCTTTAGAACAGCGATGGGAGGTATTCGTGCTGACGAGGTAAGAAAACTGCACTCAGACCCCTAGAATCACTGGGTGTCTTAGCCCGTACCAGCAAAAGGGAGTACGGTGTTGAGAACAGGCAGGGAGAGCCAAGACCCAATGGGAGCCCAGAGAAAGAGCTGAGCTTCGCAGAGGTGTGGAAATCAGGAGGCGCTAGGTAGTGCAGCACCACACAGAAAGCTCTTGCTTTAAAAGTGAAGAAGAATTTGATTTTATTGTTGGGAGCATCAGTGTATGTGGCAGGGATGCTCCGGGGACAAGGATTATACCCTGAGGCAGAGGAGAGGAGGAACGGGGGAAGGATAAGGCAATCTGACAAGGAAGTGGAAAGGTTAAAGCACACTTGAGTCTGAATCTTGGTCCCATGAGCCAGTCAGGGACCTTAAATTATTAGCCTAAATTGCACCTTCTGTACAGTACAGTAACAGGGATGCTGGGGCCCTCGGCATAGAATACTGGGGGATTAAATTCTTGTTTGCTAAACTCTTACCAGCATAATCCCAACAGAAAGCCCTTGACAAGTGTAGTTAGTCCCTGTGACTGCCGCTGAAAGCTTGAGTGTGGGTAACTAGATCAGTGGTTCTGCTGGCAAAAATAAAGATGTCACTGGAAGGGTTTAAGAAGGAAAATACTAAAGTGTGGCTTGCACTCAAGCTGAAGTTAATCGCGAGACCTCACATAGGGAGGCCTTGAACAGCCAAATGTGGATCTGGCCTAGAGCAAACACATCAAGGTATCAGGGTAGGAGGCATAGAGCGGGAAGTCATCCAGATTAAGACCTAACCTCTCCCTCCTGCTTTACAAAACATTCCTTAGCAGGGTCTTCAGCAAGTATGACAGCAAAGTACTGAAAAGTCAGTTAGCTCTGGGCACATCAGCCAGAGGTGCTCTCCCAAAGCCAACGGAGAAAAGTGACCTCCAAACCAAAATCAAAGAATGTCTTTCATTTTTTATTCATTAAAAAAAAGTCTGCATGATCTTCTCCTCAGATATACTCACCCCTCCAATGGAGTATCGGTGCTGTCGTTAATCAGATAACTTTAAGAAAACGTGTAATAGGCAGAACTTACAACGAGTCTGATGGATTGCTGCATGGAAATTGAACGCTTTCTAGGCACCACCCGAAAGGGCGTCAGCGACGCTCTCCGCGAGCTCCAGTCGCTAGCGCTTGCTGCGCCTTTCGCCTTCAAGGTGTTCGCGATCCAGCCAGGGCCAAGTGGCGGGCGCAGCCCCACGGGCAGGGCGCTGCTCCTCAGCGATGCTGCTCCGCGGTGGTGCGGGGCGGCGGTCGGGGCTTCGCTCGCTCGCTGGCAGCGCACGGCTGAAGGCCAGCCTCCGCTCCGCGCCCAGCTCCTCCCCGCGCAGCGCTCGGAC